GGATATGGCTCAGTGGATAGAGTGCTTGCCTAGCTTGCCCAAAGCCTTGGGTTCCAAACCTAGTGCTTCATAAACTGGGCATACTGTCATACACTAGCAACTCCAGCACATGGGAGGTAGAAGTAGGAGAATCAGAAGTTAAAGGTCATCCTCCCTATATGTAGAATTCAGGACCACCCTAGGCTAGAGACATGTCTACAAAACAAAAACCAAAAATTATAGTTTGAGGTTTCTCACCACATACTTTTGTTTTGGCTTGATTTGGTTTATGAAACAGTCTTACCATGCAGATCAGTTTGACCTAAAACCATGTAGCCCAGGCTTGTCCTTCTGGCCTAGTCTCTCAAGTGCTAAGATTACAGACTTGAGCCACTGCGTAGACCCAGCACAAGTCCAAATGCTTTTTCTGCTTCTGCTTTCACCCTCTGTTTTGTTACTATGTAGCCCAGGCTGGACTCTTAACTCACTAAGTAGTCAAAGATAACCTTGAACTCCTGATTCTTTTGGTTCCACCTCCATCTACCACTAGTTCCCTGCCCTACCCCCTTTTTTTAATGCAAAGCTAGGGATGCCTGAGGCCAGGACTTTGAAGCCTGCCTACTAGGTTAGCACTCTACTGCATCACCAGCACTTTAGTTACGTTTTGTTTTGAATTTGTGACAGAGCATTACCATGTATGTATCCCAAGTTGGGAAACTTGAGATATTTCCTATTTATAGTCCTATTTATAGTCCAAGCTGAAATTTCCTATTTATAGTCCAAACTGCCTAGATCTCATAATCCTGCTACCTCAACCTCTCAAGTGCTGGGATTACAGGTGTGCACTACCGTGCCTAGTTTATATGTTTAGAAGGCTGGGTGAGAAGAGGAGGAAAGGATCGTAGAGTTTGCATCCTCCCATTACAATGGCCTCATTGGGGAGTGAAAGCTACTAGGAACATTCCTGTGTATGTTTTATGTGGAAATAAGTTTTCATTTCTCTTCTGATTACCCCTGGAGTGGTATTGTCGGGCCATGTGGGAGGGAACTGTGTGTTTAACTTTTTTAAACTTTATTTATATATTTATGTTTGTGAGTGTTTTGCCTGCATGTATGTAAGTGCACCTGTATCGTGAAAAGCCCACAGAGGCTAGAAGATGGTGTCAGATCCTCTGAAACTGGGGTTACAGACAGTTATTAGGCACCATGTGGGTGCTGGGAATTGAACCTGGGTCCTCTGGAGGAGCAGCCAGTGCTCTTAACTGCTGAACCATCTCTCCAACCCCTCTGTGTTTAACTTTTTAAAGCACATACCCTTTTAAATCCCCACCAGCAGAATAGAAGGAAGAGTCTACCATCTGTTTATCTTGGTAACACTTGCATTATCTTCCTTTGTTTGGTTTTTTGAGACAGGATCTCCCTGTACCCAGGCTGGCCTGGAACTTGCTATGTAGACCAGGTTGGCCTCTATTTCACAGAGATGCCATCAAGCTGTGGTTGTGTGATTTGGATCACTGTCAAGCTGACTTGGATTTCTTACCCTTTTTAAAAAAATATTTTATTTTATGTGTATGAATGTATTGCCTGCATGCATGTGAGTACATTTGTGTTGTACAGTGCCTACAGAGGACAGAAGAGGGTGTTGGATCCCCTGGAACTGGAGTAACAGACAGTTGTTAGCTGCCATGTAGGTGCTGGAAATCAAACCCAGGTCCTCTGTAAGAGTAGTCAGTGCTCTCAACTGCTGAACCACCTCTAGCCCCCTTATCTTTATTTTTTTTTTATTTTTACTTTTTGTTATTTTTGAGACAGGGTCTCCCTGTGGCCCCAGCTATCCTGTAACTCACTATATGGACCAGGCTGGCCAAAGGCTTGCTCTACCACGCCCAGCTCTGGGCAGGTATCATTGAATCTTGTCTGAACTTTATCTGCTGCTTCTGTCAAGATAATGCCCTCCGTCCTCTCAGGTGGTTGGAATAGTAGGCACTAAGTAAGTGGTGGCTCTTTTTGATCTGCTCTGTGGTACATTTGAGCCACATTTAATATCAAATAAGATCCCCCCAACAATCTTTAAACCCCAGAAAGAGTGTATGGGTTGTGGCAAGTGGTTGCGAAGTAGCTCTGTCAACCTGCAGCCTGCTGAACACTACCATTGTGCATCTTACTTAGCCCCAGCTCCAGATCATAGCTGTGAAGTGGGTTTAGTCTTTTATTTGGTTTTGTTTCTCATAAGTGTAGTAGCTTACACTGAGCTATACACCAATAAGACTAGCATATAGGAATATTACTTTTAAGGTTGCTCAATGGTTAAGAACACTTGGTGCTCTTGTAAAGAACCCAGGTTCACTTCCCAGTATCCTCGCATGGTGACTCACAACTGACTCTTAACTACAGTTCCAGGGGATTCAATGCCTGTTCTGGCCTCTGCAGACACCAGGCACTCACATGGTACACATACATGTAGTAAAAGTAAGTGAGTCTTTAAATTGCCAGTTCCTCTCTGGTAAAGAAAGAGAATAAAGAAATGATCACACACTGAGAACACTGAGCTAAATGTCATTCAGTGGTAGAATCCTCACCTTATGTGCCCAAGGCCCTAAGTTCCCCCCAAAAAAGTAAGTTTAAAAAGATAATATATTAACATAATCTCATAGCATCTTATTAGCTTAAGTTTTAGTAGAAAATCGGTTCCAGAGATGACATCTGTTCCTGAGTCCTTGGGCAGTAGAGGAGATGAAAAGATGGAGTCCCAGAGAATATCAGCCCTAGTTAGCAGTAGCAGAAGATGGGGCCTGTTCCATAACAACGTGAAGAAAAGTAAGACAGAGGTGTCTGTCAAGGATAAACAAGACCTAAGTAGGATTTAGTAGCGTTATAAAAAGGGTCAGACTATGACTTTTAAAACTTTTTATTTTTTGAGAAAGGAATAGAATTTAACAGAATCTAATCATTGAATCTATAATTATTAAAAGGAAAAACATTGAGGAATGGGGAGATGGTTCAGTGTGTAAGAGTACTTGGTGCCACAGGCATGAGCAACTAAGTTCAGACCCTCAGCACCCACATAAAAAAGACAAATGTAGTCATGCATATGCCTATAACCCTAGCACTCTGGGGGACAGAGCCAGGAAGATCCCAAGGGCTCACTAGCCACCAGGCCAGCCAAAATTACCTTAGGAAAATTCTTTATATCCCTTCAAAGTTTGTATACTCAGCCAGGCATGGTGATACATGCCTATAATCCTAGAACTCTAGACAGAGGCAAGAAAATCACAAGTTCAAGGCCATCCTGAGCTAAATAGTGAGATCCTATCTCTCAGAAAAATATAGACTTGCATACCTTAAGTGTGATTAAAAATAAGAATGGGCTGTAACTATAACTCAGTAGTAGAGCCCTTACTTGGCATGAACAAAGTGACAGGTTCCATCCCCAGCAAAGTACAAGGGAAGAGGAAAGAAAGGAAGACAGTTGTAAATATTTAATCACATTCTGGCACGTTGGTTGGTTGGCTGGCTGGTTTGTTTTCAACTAGTCTCAAAGTTAGAATCATCCTGCCTCAGCCTCTTTAGTACCTGAGATTCTAGCACCACACCCTCCTCTCAGCTTTACTTTTGGTTAATAGAAGTACCCTGATACTCCTATACAGTGGTATATTTTCCTTAGAGGATGAACCCTGCCCATCTCCCTTCTGAGCTGCACACAGGATTCCAACATAGTCAGCAGGAGCTAGTATGATGTAGCGTGACATACAACTCACTCTCTCTCTGTGCCTCTCTCTCTCTGTACCTCTCTCTCTCTCTCTCTCTCTCTCTCTCTCTCTCTCTCTCTCTCTGCCCTCTGTCTAGTGTTTGTAATGGGTAGTCTTTACCCTTTCTCCTACTTAGCTCTTTGGTTCCTAGGACTCCGAACACTGCCTGCCTAGGCTACCCCCTTCACCACTACCAGACAACTTATTTCCTGAAACATTCTTTGGTGTGTGACCATACTTACACCCACTGCAGTCTGCCTTTCTGTCTATTCTAGAATCTCAGGTCTATTCTTTGTTGCAGTTATTCCATACATTTCTTCCTGAGCTCTTTTACCTAGAACTTCTGATCCCCATCCCTTAAACCTGCTCCATCCTTACGTAGAGTCAACCTCCATGTATGTGATTCATGGAGATAAACTTCTTTGGACTACTGCAGCCCCTCAGCCCTGCCAAGCTAGTGCCCATCTTGACACATTTGAAATTCTGTTCCTTCCAAGTAAGGTACTCTTCCTTCCACATCTTCAGCCTACTATTTTCCAAGCCTCTGTTTGTCATTTAAGTTTCAAGCCCTAAATTCTTGAAGAGAGTTGAGCAGGGAAGGACCAGGCACTCTGCCTAGTGACTGCTAGTCTTGGTTTCATTTGTCTACATCTAAAGTCCTGTTGACTTTTCTGCCTCCCCTCTCCCTGTAGAATAGATGGAGGCCAGGTGCTCTCTCTTGCTTCCCACAGTGTCCTGGTATTTTGAATGTGCCTAGAAGATAGCAGACTCTCAGTAAATCTGTTTGACGAATCTCCCTGCACTGCTTGGCCATGAGGATGATGGTCCCCTCCAGCTCTGGCCTTCTGGGGCTCTGAGTCACAGATATCCTGGTGTTGGAATGAGCTATTACTGACTGCTAGAAGGTTAGCTTCCATTTGCTTGCTGTTCTCTTCTGGTAAGAATCACTTAATTTTACTCTAATAAGAGTTTTTGCTGCTCTCATGCTCAAAGCAGAATAAGAGCTGCCTCAGTGTCATTGGGTGTGCACAACGCTGACCCCTAGGGCTGCTGAGAAATTGATGGAAAAGCTTTGGTGCTGTTGGATGTAGCCTTGTGACAAGCTGCCTTTCCAGAGACTGAAAGCTGCACTCCCTGGCATGCCAGCAGCCCAGGTCACTCGATTTCTTTGTGCTTTTGTTTTCTTCTTTTGTAGCATGGATTTTGGAGATTGGTTGTAAATTATATCAGGAAAGAGAGTGTTTAAAATTCTAACCCTTCTCCCTTTCTTAGATGTGAACGATTAGAAGAACAACTAAATGACCTAACTGAACTCCACCAGAATGAAATCTTAAATTTAAAGCAGGAATTGGCCAGCATGGAAGAGAAAATTGCATATCAGTCCTATGAACGGGCCCGGGACATCCAGGTTGGTATGATCAATAAGTTAGAAAGAAGAAAGTAAAGTAAAGAGAATGAGAAGAGACAGGACAGTAGAGTGTTTTTTGTTTTGTTTTGTTTTGTTTCTTTTTTGTCTTTTTGAGACAGGGTCCCCCTGTAGCCCCACCTGGCCTGGAACTCATTTTGTAGACCAGAGTGGCCTTGAACTCACAGAGATCCACCTGCCTCTGCCTCCCGAGTGCTGGGATTACAGGCATATGCCACCATGCCCGGCAGGATAGTAGATTGTTAAGAAAAGTTCTCACCAGTTATAGTACACCTGCTCTTCAAACAATGGAAGTCTGCACCACTTTGGGGCTATAGACCTGCTCGAGTTCTTGGGAAATATGTCTTAGGTCCACAGCAGAATCTGCCTGGGGAGAACCAAAGCATCCTGCCTATTAGCTGCTTCTGGAGCAGCTCTAAGGGTCTTCTGGCCATCTTGCCTATCTCTGCTCCTATGGAAAGGGGCTTTGTCCCAGCTCTTTCACAGGTGCATTGTTACAGTTTATGAGAGTCCCCCATTACACAGTGACACTGAAGGTAAATATCTACTGGATTCCATGGAGAAATAAAGCATTGTAAATTTTTCTTATTTCTGTGAAGATTTCCTCAGAGAACAAATCTTGGTGGTTTTCTGTGAAGGCATCTTGAAATAAGCTATTATCAGAGAAGTAGAGCTTATAGCATAGCCACCAGAAGGAATCAAGGCAATGTCCTATTTGCTCAGCTGCCATTTTCTTATAATTTTTTTAAACTTATTTTACATGTATGAGTATTTTGCCTGCATGTATATAAGTGCACCACATGTGTGCAATGCCCATGGAGGCCCAAAGAAGACATCAGATTCTCTGGAACTAGAATTAAGGTTTGTTGTTAGCTGACATGTGGGTACTGGGAACTGAACCCAGATTTTCAGCAGAACAGCCAGAGCTCTTAACCACTGAGCCATCTCCAGTCCCAGATGCCATCTTCTTTAAGCCCTAGATTTCTGTTTTCATTTTTCTCTCCCCAAGGTGGTTCTATACTGGGCAGCAGCCATCATCCATTCTCCAGCTAACTTCATCCTGAAGTTGCCTGGGTCTTAACATCCCAGGAAGCTAGGACCCATTGAAGCCAAGGCCAGGAAAACCCAGTGCTCCAGCCACTGGCAGACTTGGGAAGGTATCTGTCCAAAGCTAAGGGAGTAGGTTCTACTCCCTGAGTGGTCAGAGTCACCCACTCATTGGTGAAGGGCTTGGCCTTGAGGGGAATAGGTTTCTCTAATGCCCTAGTGTGTGGGCATAGTACCCTCCTTACAGAGCTCCACCTGAGAAGGGAGCATGCCCTTCTTACAGCAGGCTCACAGTTCCCTTTCTCTAGTCAGGATTTGTCCCTGACTTGAAAGCACCAGGTAGTATGTTGCTGAAGCATGTTCAATGGTATTCACTGCATCATTGATTGGAAAAATTAGAAACCACCTAAAAATCCCCAAGAAGGAACTGAGTAAGCTCTGGAAGACCCATACTATGAAATGCTATATAGCAGATAAAAAGAATTGAGGTAGGGCTGGGGAGATGGCTCAGTCAATAAAGTATTTGCCTCACAAGCATGAGGGTCTGAGTTCTGATCCCCAGAACACACATAAAAAGCTAGACATGAGGCCGGGCATGGTACCGCACACCTTTAGTCCCAGCACTCGGGAGGCAGAGGCAGGTGGATCTCTGTGAGTTTGAGGCCAGCGTGGTCTACATAGTGAATTCCAGGACAGCTGGGGCTGTAGGGAGACCCTTTCTCAAAAAAGGAAAAAAAAAAAAAAAAAAAAAAAAAAAAAAGCTAGACATGAGGAGCCAACAAGACAGCTCATTGGGTCAAGGTGCTTGCTATGCAAGCCTGACAACCTGAGCTTGGTCCCCAGAACATACATAAAGGTGGAAGGAGAAAACCAGCTCCTCAAATTTGTCTTCTACCTCCACGCTATGCCAAGGGAGGGGGCGGGGAGACACACACGCACCCCCATTAGTCATAAAGTGATTTTTAAGCTGGGCATGGTGACACACATTTGTAAGCCCAGAGATGGTGAGAGGAGAGGTGAAAACAGGCAGATCACTGGAGCTCACAGGCCAGCTCGTCTAGCCTACGTGGCAGTGTTGCAGACCAATGAGAGACCTTGTCTCAAACAAAAGATGGAAGGTACTTGAGGACTGACACCCACAGGTGTCCTCTGACCATCACATGAACACGCATATATGCATGTGTTCTGCACACACATACCACCTGCACACAGAAGAAAGGTAGATTTCTGTGTTTTAACATGAAGAGTTCACCAAGACTTACTGTTGATCAAAAGAAGTCATATGTGGCTCAGTCCTGGTGAGTGCTGTTCACACGACACTAGGAAGTACCTGTAAGCCAACCCCATACATTTTCTGAGGCACATGCATGTATATACTTAAATACAGGTTAACAGGTAGACACAACATCAGTGTTACTCCCAGAGACAGGGACTGGAATTGAGACAAATGCTAATGGAGACTGTTCTATTTGAAATCTAATTTCACATGAAAATTTGATTTTATGTAAAAGAAGTGCATGTATCTCATGCACCTTAGACTAGTAATTTTTTAAAGGAAAAAAAAGCATATAATTAAGGTCTTGTCATTAAAATGTTCTAAGACGATTGGGAGTAGTGGCAAAGCCTATGATCCCAGCACTCAGGAAGTAGAGACAAAAGGATCCCAGGTATCTCGGCTACATAGCAAGTATGAGATCAGCCAGGGATATAAGAGACTGTCTCAAGAAAAAAATTTTTTAATATTCTAGGCCAAATAAATCCAAGTGTGGTAACTGCTTCCTGTGGGTCATTCCATAGGCATGCAATGGAGGGAAGGGGAGTAATAGTCACTTGAGCAGTGACTTGGGCATCTGGCTTGCCCACTGGTATGTCAGCCACCAGAGTACTGTGAACAGGAGCCTAACTATCCCGTTTGGCCCACAGGAGGCCCTGGAGGCATGCCAGACCCGCATCTCCAAGATGGAGCTGCAACAGCAGCAACAGCAGGTGGTACAGCTGGAAGGACTGGAGAATGCCACTGCCCGGAACCTTCTGGGAAAACTCATCAACATCCTCCTGGCTGTCATGGCGGTCCTCTTAGTCTTTGTGTCCACAGTAGCCAACTGTGTGGTCCCCCTCATGAAGACTCGCAACAGGACGTTCAGCACTTTATTCCTTGTGGCTTTCATTGCCTTTCTCTGGAAGCACTGGGATGCCCTCTTCAGCTACGTGGACCGGTTCTTCTCAGCCCCCAGATGATGCTGGTGCAGGGAGTGCATGCCAAGACAGCTAGACAACAACATACCCACTCTGAAGTTTTCTACAACGAGAGAGTTGAGTGAATCTGTTTACATTTAGGATAATGTTTTTTTCTTCAAGAGACGCAATTGCAATAGTATTTTTTAGATTTTATCCAAGAAGTTTTTTGAGAGAAAATCTTGGATCATTTTTATGTAGCATGATTTTCCTTGGGATGCAAATCTTAAACAGTCCTTTAACATGAACCAACACTCTGCAGCACACTGAAGGGCATTCTGGATTGAGGCTTGAAGGACTGTAATAAACCCACTAAACAGATGCAAAGATCTGACTAGGCCTGGTACCCGCCCTGCCTGGGCTCCCACCTGTTCTCATCCAAGCTAACACTACTGTGAAGTCCCACCACATTCCAGGTCGGAATTTTGGATTCAGGGTGGATATTCCCTGCCGTGGAGGAACACAGGCATCTCCCCGACTGGCTTTCTCATACTAACCCTGAAGTGTGATTCCCCTCTGAACCTGCCAGGATATGGAAGAGTGTGTCAGGCCCACAGGATCACTGCACAGTCCTGTTCAGTATTGTGAAGTAGCCCTTAATCCTTACTTTTAAGCAAAATCCCTTGGCCGCACTTTTAAGGTTTTTTTTTTTAATATATATATATATATATATATGTATAGTTACCAACTTAAAAATAAATCCGAACAGCATACTTGAAGAATGTAATACTCAAACTCTCAGCGCTTCCTTATGGTTTCTAATAGGATTTTTATTGTTATTATTATGGGTTTTTTTGGAAAGGGTTGGGAGGATCTTTTTTTTTTTTTCTTTGAAATAAAGAAGTGATGTTTGAAATGAAGCCGTGTGGGTATTTCAGCGTGCTGCTCTCTGTTGTCTTGAAACAGTTGAGTTGGAGACTGCTGCAAGTGCTGCCCTCTGCCGCCCTGTTTGAGATGCAGCTTAAACTCCCCTCTGCTGCCTCGGCTTTCTGGTTGGTGTCCACCACGCCTACAGCACCACTGCCAGGGCTTGGCTTAGTTGGAGCAGTGAGGGGTACGCAGAAAGAGGGGGACGTGGTCTGTACAGACCAATGTAGTAAGACTGGAATTTTTTTTTTTTTGCCCCAAGTTAATACAGTGACCTTGGGCTGGGGTTGTCTTTAGGAAAAAATGAAAGTATGTTATGAGAGTCATATATAATTCTTTATGTTTGCTTATTTATTGTTTAACACCCCCTAATTATCGAAACCAAAGTGATGTCAAATCTTCTGTCTGCATTTTGGCCTCAGCATCCTTAACTTCAAAGCTTTATTATGTCTGCCTGAGAGAGTCAACTGAAGCTGATTCTCCCAAAAAGCAGGAAAGGAAATGTCAGGTTAGAAGGACCCAAGTCTTGGGTGTAGACTGTTGCCAGCTTTGTGTTAACCTAGACTGACCTACTGATCTCACTATATTCAGTGGACTTTCAGAGACAGTTTAGGAAGATGAGCTGAGCATTCATCCCCATCCTATAGTCAGTTCCGTCGTGGAACTTGAACCTTCAGAGGTACTAGAGAGCTTGGTTACGCTTCGATTATTCCTAGTACTAGGTCACAAATGCCATTTCCTGTGGCTGCATTCTGTCACCTGATGCACAGGGGGCCTGTGCTGTACCCTGGAAGAGAAGCAAAACATGCTTCACTAAGTCCCCACACCAAGACCTTTCAGAACTAGGTCAGCATTGCCCTGTCTGGTTTACGTAATAGCTCCAGCCTCCTTTTGCATTGACAAGCTGGCCTCCTCAGTCAGCGTGCTATCCCCATGACCACTTTGATATTATAACTCAGGTACCCCAGACTTCACTCCATCCCCAGATGGCTGTCATTAACCTTATAATTAACACCTAGAGCAGGGACCACAGGGCTGATTTTTTTTCTTTTTTAAATTAAAATCAATTCATATTCATGCCAAAACAAATTGTCCCCAGCCTATATATTTAAAATGTTAACTTTGCCTGGAAACACTGCACAACTTGAGGCGAGAAGACCACAGGCTACCGTGACTGTGCTGGACTAGCGTCGCTGCTGTAGCTTAGTCACTACAGTACAGAAGAAAGCCCCAAGGCTGAGGGAAAGACCTCCGTTGGCAGCCCATTGGCTTCTCTAGGACAGTCCGACTGCCCTGGATGTCACTGTGATAGATAAGTTGAAACTGTTCCGTTTGCCTGGAGACAGTTACTGTCAAAGGAAGGTTTTCACCTGTGGAAAGCCCTGGAACTCTAGCCAAACAGGCTCCAACTGACTTCACATCTTCCTCTTGTGGCTGTTGGAAAGGACCTTCAGTCCAGGTCAGGCCCTGTCATGGCTTCTCACTGTCTTGCCCTCTGCTCACTCACCAGACCCACAGTTGTCAGCATTCAGTGCTCTGTGTAACACACATCTGTTTTCCTGCCTGTCCTTTCACTGTCCATCTCTGTTACCTTTGAATTTCTTTTCATTGTGGCTGTCCTTGGATGATCTTGTCTGTTCATAGCCCTGTGATAGCCTTGCTCTAATGGTTTAACAATTGTTCTGAAGGAAACTTGCCCATGATTTAATGCTTCTTTTCATTAAAAGGAAATAATAAATCAAAAGACTGTGCATTCCCATTGGAGTGAAGCATTCCTTGACTCCTTGTTCATGCTGGTGCCTAGCCTGGGTGAGTGAGGCTGGCTCTGTTGGCCTGGGTGACTGCTGAGGTTGTGGAGTCGCCATCATTCTACATTATTCGTGATCACTAAAGGCCTGTCTGCTCCAGTTTCACATCCAGGGTGTACTCAGTGCGTCTTGGCAAGGAAGGCTTTCTATACCAGTCTGTAAGAGGCAAAAGCAGGTTCAGTTGGATCCATCACTGACTGAGCTTCTCTAGCCCGTGTCCCAACTGCGGTCAAACAGCTGATGCCAGACCAGTGGGACAGAGCCTTCTTTGCTAGCCATGTCCTGACAACGAGCCTGCTTTCCCATGGTCTTCACTGTGTTTGGTTTTGTTTCCAATTACATGCTCCTCTGGGGTAGTCAGTGGAGATCCTGGATTCTAAGTGAGCGCCAATGAGGAGCTGCCTTCTAGTTTTGGAAAATACACATCTAAACCAAACCAAACACTGTTGTCAGCAAGCTGACACAGGCAAAATACCCGTTCCCACACCACCCCTATGAAACTGGGGTTTTGAATGTGGCCTGAGTTAACATTTTTGTGTGTTGTGTGTGCTAGGTGAAACCCTCAGTAGGGGCTGACTACTAGACTATAAGTGTGTTTTATCAAAGTGTGTAAGAATAAAAACTCACTTGCACGAATTGCAGAGTAAAGAAATGATACTTGTGAACGTGTGAACGTTAACACTGTAGTTGATAGATCTTAAGCTGCTAATTGTTGAGAGAGAATTCATTTGTGTTCTGTCTGGTTGCTGCAGATTCTGAGCAGCACTTTTACTGTACATACAAATGGAAATAAAGACCTCAGCTAGTAACCTGCTGGTCGACTCAGCTTTGTTTTGCTCTTTATTTTTACATACCCATTTCCAGTAGCAAGGGTGTCAGTCTGCAAACTGTGTGTGAGAGAGAGAGAGACACAGGAGGGGCAAGGAGGAGAGGGAGAGGGTCTCACCAGTATCCTGAGGCTATAACTGACAACAGGGGTGGTTATCACCACCTCTCTGGACTTTGTAGATATTTCAGGCTGGCACTTTCCTATGATTCCTTTAGACTGGTAGATAAGACAGACTTTCAGGGCCTAGGGAAATGGTTCAGTTGGTGAGATGCTTGCTAAACAAGCATGAGGACCTGAGTTTGGATCCCTGGCACCATTGTAAAAGGCCAGGGTCCAGGTGTGTGTCTGTAACCTCAGTGCTGGGGCAGTGGAGACAGGAGGACTCCTGGTGCTTGCTGGCTGGCCAGCAGGTGATCTCCAGGTTTACTGAGACACCCTGTTTCAAGACAGTGGAGAGTCATGGAAAAAGGCACCTAAAACTGAACTCTGGCCTCCACACACACACGTGTGTGTGTGTGTGTGTGTGTGTGTGTGTGTGTGTGTGTGTGTGTGTGTGTGTGTGTACAACCACACACAGGAGACTACCTTTAATTTCTTTGAGAGGCATTCTATCAGTACCTCCCAAATCCAGCCCCTAATTACCCCAGAGTGGCCAGAATAACGTCTCTCCATCCTTTCAAAGCTTTGCTATAACATTATTATGATGGTTGGAAGCAAACATTTAACATTTAGCGTTCTTACCCAATCTAATCCTAACTGGTTTTGGTAAAGAAGTCGTAATTTCTTTCTTTGCAGTGCTGGTAATGGAACCCAGGGCCTTGTTCATACAGGGCAAGCACCGAGTCATATCCCACCCCATTAGTAATTTTGTTTTTTAAGGGTTTTTTTTTTAGCATTTAGTTATATATATATATATTGTGTGTGTACATACGTGGGTGTCATGGTGTGCATATGAAACTCAGAGGACAACTTGTAGGAGCTGGTGCTCTCCTTCTACCATGTTTCCAGGGATCAAACTCAGGTCATCAGACTTAGCGGCAAAAGCTCCTTTACTCACTGAGCCATCTCACTGCCCCAAAGATAGTAATTTTTACTAGGACTCTTGCCATAGCTCAGAGGCCCTGGAGATCTGGAGATGCAGAGGCTCTGAAGGGCACTCAACAAGCAGATCCTTCACAGCCCCATTCTTTTTTTTTTTTTTTTTTTTTGGACTTTTTGAGGTGGTTTCCTGCAGCCCCAGCTAGCCTGGAACTCACTATGTAGACCAGGCTGGCCCTTGAACTCACAGAGAGCCACCTGCCTCTGCCTCCTGAGTGCTGGGACTAAAGGTGTGCACTACCATGCCTGGCCACAGCCCCATTCTTAGTAGCTCTAGTTCTCCTGCCCAGTCTGTAAGCAGTATCACACTCAGCCTGACCCTACCCTGCCTGTTGTGATAAGAAGGAACACCCCTTGTTCTTGTGACAGCTTTAAAGATTGCTGTGGCAATGCCCTTAACTTCTAGAAGTATGTACCAGGCTGTATGCAGAGTTGCAGGGTGCACACTGCCCACCGCAAGGGCTTTCAGCACTGGATATCACAGCTTATCACAGCCTTTTGCATGACGCAAAAGCATAATTTCAGTCATTATTGTCATCTATTAAAAACTTTAGTAAGCCTTTAATGTCAGCACTCCGGAGGTAGAAGCAGACAAATCTCTGGGATGCCAGCCTGGTCTGCATAGTGAGGTCCAAGCCAGCGAGGCTAATAGACCCTGTCTCAGAACTAGAAAGCCAGGCACTTAGAAGGTGGAAGGCAGGAGGGTCAAGAGTTGAGGGTCATTCTTAGCTACATACCAAGTTCGAGACCAGCCTAGGACATAAGGGCTCAGAAAAGACAGAGGAGGTGGGGAACTTTGGAGAGTATGATGACAAATCTGAGCAGCTGTGATGTGAAACACAAGTTACATGGAGGGTAGACATGACCAGTGAGAGGTGTACCTCCCCTGAAGGATTTGAATGTGTAAACTCCATAGGCCAGACTCAACAGCTGGTACTTTCACAACCCCACATCTGCTTAGTCAAGAGCAGCTGACATGGAGGAAGTATGTAATGCTAGTCCCCATGGAGCTGCCTCAGGTTATTGTCCCCAGTGACTATGGAGGTAAGGAAACAAGCTGGGGTTCAACAGCTGTGCAAGCAAGGCATGATGCCTCAAAACTGTGATCCTAGCACTCAGGAGACTGAGGCAAGAAGATAGACCTGAGTTTCCATGTTGCCCTGAGCTGCATAGACTCCACAGCTGAGCTTGTTGACTGTTGACCTCCCCTCATTAGAGGGGTACAGAGAGGGTTGTGGGAACCCCTGGGCATCCAACCATTTCTCCCAACCCCTAGTGGTAATTCTGCCCTAATTGCATGTGGCCTCTGTGAAGAACCAGAGTTCATAGGCTGAGGAAGATGGGGTGGGGGGTGGGATCCATCTATGCCCCTGTGGGGAAGCCATCATCCATATTGGGTGAATACTTTCCAGTGTGGCCTTAGGAGCACCCACACTCCTGTGAGTAACCCCACATCCATGTTCTATAACCCAGTAACTCACTGAACTCCGGGTCAGTGAAAGACTATCTCAAAAACCAAAGTGGAAGGGCATCCGAGGAATGCAACTCAGGGTTGTCATCTGGCTTCCACACACATGCACTTACACATATGCAAAGAACTCGGTAGAAAAACAGGCAAAGGTTATGAACAAATAGTTCACAGAAAAATATTTAGCTTCCTGCACCATCTGTGTATGAAATGAAAAGAGCCAGGTAGGAAACTATTTTCTCCATTTATGTTGAAAAAGGTTTTATTTGTGTAAAGATGCATGTGTAAATGGACAGAAACTCTATGGTATCTTGCTCCCAGAGCAGAGAAGGGCTTCCAGGCTTGGCTCATGTAAAGTAGAAGTCTTTCTTAATGTTTTTATTTATGTGTGTTTTCCCTGCATGTATGTAAGTGCACTCATATCATGCAATGCCCGAGGAGGCCAGAATAGGGTGTCAGACCCTCTCGGAACTGGATTTACATATGGTTGTTAGCCACCATGTGGGAGCTGTGTACCAAACCTAGGTCCTCTGCAAGAGCAGCCAGTGCTTTTAACCTCAAAGCATCTCTCTAGCCCCAAGTCTTTTTAAAGAGAACATAGTCCCTTGTATAAAACTTTTGAGACAGGGTTTCACTATATAGCCCAGCTTGGCCTCTAACTTTAGAGACCTTCCTATCCCACAGTTGTAGAGTAGTCTACACAAGACTGACCTACAGCAATGTGCTGAGCCCAGGAGAATGAGAGCCATTTCATAATGGGCACAAGCCATGTGTGGGGATGAGGAGGATAATGATGAGGAGGAGGCAGTAGAGGTACTCCTGATGGGGAGAGACTCAGTGGAGGCTGCTGTGGTGTCTGACTGAGAGAAGAAGCTTTGAGGAAGGTGTTAAGGGGAGCTGAGAATCAAATCCAGAGCCTCACAAATGCTAGGCAAGCACCAGATCGCTGAGCTATACCCCAGGCCAAGGTGGTAGAGTTTTGATGAGCAGAAATGGTTGAGGAGGGCAGTCTAAGTTGGAGGAGCTGTATTAGCAAAACCACAGTGGTGAAAAGGGCCAAGGTGGGGCTGGAGAGATGGCTCAGCAGTTAAGAGCCCTTACTGCTCTTTCAGAGGACCAGGGTTCAGTTCCCAGCAACCATGTGGTAACTAACTACCATTTGTAACTCCAGGATGCCCTCTTGCCTCCACAAGATTGCATGACACAGGTGCACTTACATATATGCAAGCAAAACAACACATAAAAATAAATCTAAGCCAGGCGTGGTGGTGCACGCCTTTAATCCCAGCACTTGGGAGGCAGAGGCAGGCGGATCTCTGTGAATTCAAGGCCAGCCTGGTATACATAGTGAGTTCCAGGACAGCTGGGGCTACAGGGAGACCCTGCTTCAAAAAATCAATCAATAAATAAATAAATCTAAAAACATGTTTAAAGGGGAGTGGGATCAGGTGAGGAGCTCAAACAATAGGCTGGTGCCTTCAGCAGCTGGCTTTGCGCCTGGAAGTATTCACCAATTGGTCAAGCAAAAAACCATAGTGGGAGCCCAGCTGCAGGGAATGGTGAAGCCAGCTGGGCACAGCTCGGTGACCATAGTTTGCCTAGCATTCACAAAACCCTGGGGTCCCATCCCCAGAACTGGAAAAAAAAAAAAAACCTTTTTAAAAATAGATGGTGAATGCTGCATTCAAGGTTTATTTGCCTATCTCACCACAAGATAGAAGTCATTAAAGGTGTGGTGAGAGGACTCAGCCTTGTATTTAAAGGTAATTATGGCCTTTCAAAAGGAACCAGTAGCTAGAAACTGGGTGTGGTGGCGCATGTCTTTAATCCCAGCACTTGGGAGGCAGAGGCAGGTGGATCTCTGTGAGTTCAAGGCCATCCTGGTCTACATAGTGAGTTCCAGGAGAACTGGGGCTACAGGGAGACCCTGTCTCAAAGAGACCAAAAAAAAAAAGGAACTAGTAGCCAGTTTCATGTCATCCAGGTCAGCAGGTGGCTGAGAAAGGATGTGTGCAAGGAACTTGATCTATTGCATGTGGATCTTGTAATGAGGAAACTTCCTTTTTATTTAGAACTAGGGACTGAGGCCAGGTGTGGTAATATACACCCTTAATCCCATGGTGGTGCATGCCGTTAAGCCCAGCACTCAGGAGGCAGAGACAAATAGATCTCTGTGAGTTCAAGGCTAGCCTGGTTGGCTAAGTAAGACCTTGTGTTAAAAACAAAAAAAGAGAAGAGAGCAATTGAAGAAGACAGCCAACCTAGGACATATATGAGGACTGTTTGCAAAGCCTCAGTCTCTCTGTACCTGCCTCCTTAGGCCAGGGTGCACAATCACCAAAATCACCAAGGGAGCCAGAGAGTAGTGGCTACAGTGAACCTAGGCCTGTCCCCTGCACACACACACACACACA